AGCTTGCAGCAGGGGTTGCTTTGCTCCTGCTGGGTGGGTTTGGGGCATCCTCACTGCCCGCTGCAGGCAGAGCACCCGCCCCGGCACGTTTACTGCTTTTGAGTGCCTGCGAATGGGCAGAGGGGGGGGAGTGGGGTTCAGCTTGTACCTGGGCAGGGGTCGGGCATCACACGGCTTTCCTGCCCCCACTTCCTTTTTAGCCCCCTGGCACCCAGGGGTGCATCTGCTTGAAAGGGTGTCCCCTGCCCTCCCCTCACATCGCTTCCCGCCCCTCCAGGACATTCGCAACACGGTGGGCAACATCCCCATGGAGTGGTACCAGGACTTCCCGCACATCGGCTATAACCTGGAGGGCAAGAAGATCTACAAGCCCATCCGGAACAAGGATGAGCTGGACATGTTCCTGGAGAAGATGGAGAACCCTGACTACTGGTGAGTGTGTCGGGGATGGCCACAGCGGTGCGCGGTGTGACGTGTTCACCACGTGGACACCAAGACTCGAAATGCCCCAACTGCCCAGAGCTCTGGGCTGGAGAGCACAGGCTGGAGACCTCAAGGTGTCCCGGTGTGACTCCTGGCACATGGCTTTGGGAGCCCAGGACTTCATGGTAGCGGGGCTTGTACCACCGTGGGGGATGGACGCCGTAGTCCAGCCCTAACGCTGTCCCATTCGGTTCCCTGCAGGCGAACGGTCCAGGACAAGATGACAGGTGCAGACATAAAGCTGACAGACGAGCAGGTGGACCTGGTGCATCGCCTCCAGAAAGGGCAGTTTGGGGATGTCCACTTCAATCCCTATGAGGTGGGGTCACGGCACACCCTCTGCACTTGCTCCACGTGCTGGGTTGCCCCAGGATGCCCCCGCCCCGTGCCACACGGGTCTGTGTCTCCCCAGCCGGCCGTTGACTTCTTCACCCATGAGGTCATGATCCACCCGGTGACGAATCGCCCAGCGGACAAGCGGAGCTTCATCCCCTCCCTCATTGAGAAGGAGAAGGTGAGAGGTCTGACGGAACCGTGGGTGAGCTGCGAGCACAAAGCCAAGCTCTGCCTGCGTGTGGAGCACCCACACAGACCTCAGCGCTGAAGACTCGTGGCTGCGACTGCCCTCCTGTCCAGCAGTCCCTCCTGTCCCCACCGTGGCCCACCCACCCCCACGGCTGTTCCTGCTGCAGCAGTCCATGGCCATGTGTGAACTCCATGGGTCCTGTGCAGCCCTCCAGGCTCCCAGAGCTGCAGAGCTGTGCTCGGCCACTTCCATTTCCATGCTGGCATCCCACACCTCCTCCTGCCTCAGGCTGCTGAGTCCTGTGGCTCCTGGGGTTGACCTCTCCCTGCCCCACAGGTCTCCAAGCTGGTCCATGCCATCAAGATGGGCTGGATCAAGCCCCGCAAGCCCAAGGACGACACCCCTACCTACTATGACCTCTGGGCCCATGAGGATCCCAACTCCATCCTGGGCCGCCACAAGATGCACGTCCCAGCACCCAAGATGAAGCTGCCTGGGCACGAGGAGTCCTACAACCCCCCACCCGAGTACCTGCTCAGCGAGGAGGAGGTGAGGGGGGTCCTTGAGCGGCCAGGAGACACGGGAAGGTGCTGGGCACACGGGGAGCTCAGTAGGTGCCGGGACCCGAGGGGGGCTGTGCTGTGCTGGGGAAGGCAGTCGGGGCACCCTAGAGACCACATGGTGTCGAGGTGAGTGACCTTGCCAGGGGAGTGGAAGCAAAGGTTCCTCAGCCCCGAGGCTAAAAAGAGAAGTGGGAGTTGGGGGG